TTAGTGCTCCAGCTCTGCTGCAGCACTGCAAACCTTAGTAGTACCGGCACCGGAGGAATCCATTGCGGTGCCACCACCCGCCTTACATGAAGATTTTAAGGCTAACCGGGAGCTCCTTAGGCGTGTCGCCTCCAATCTCCAGCTCCAGGCCGAAGAGATGGAGGAGCCGTCGGACATGTTGTTCAACGTCTTGTCCTCTTTGGCACCGGGCTGTGTGGTCCTACCTCTCCACCAAGGGGTGGCCAATATCTCCACGTCGCTTTGGCAAACCCCGGCGTCCTTGGCGCCTATTTCAAAAAAGGCAGAGAGAAAGTACTTTGTGCCAGCAAATTGGCACGAATATTTGTATTCTCACCCGGTACCCAACTCTCTGGTGGTGGAGTCGGTAAACCACCGAGAGAGACATGGCCAACCCGCGCCCACCCCCAAAGATAAAGACGCCAGAAGACTGGATATCTTCGGCAGGAAGGTTTATTCATCGGCGAGCTTCCAGCTCAGGGTGGCTAATCATCAAGCCCTCCTGAGCCGCTGTGATTTTAACCTGTAGGGGTCCCTGCCAAAGTGTGAACCTCTTCTTCAGGAAAAGGATAAGAAGAAGTTCAGAGCTTTGGTCGACGAAGGTGCGGCGGTGGCAAAAGCGGCCCTCCAAGCGGCTTCGGACGCGGCAGATACAGCAGCCCGTTTGATGGCCTCTGCTGTTGCCATGCTCAGGGCGTCGTGGCTCTCACTGTCAGGGCTGTCCGCGGAGTCCCAGTCCCTCATGTAGGACTTGCCTTTCGACGGGAAGGCCCTGTTTGCGGATCAGACAGACACCTGTCTACACAGGATGAAGGACTACCGCACCACCCTGCAAACTCTGGGCCTATATGTCCCACCGGCTAAGGACAAACCCAGGCCACAGACCTCGGTTCCTCCAAGTAGGGGCAGATATGAGCCTCCACCTAAGAGGGTGAGGGAGCAGAGACGTAGATCCCAGCGCCAGTCCCGCTCAGCCCCGCGACCTGGGCCCTCCAAGGGCAAAAGGCAGGGAAAGAGGTGCTTTTGACTCTTTGCGGGGGGCCACCGGGCCTGTTGCCAGGGGAGCCCCCCAGTTAATAAAGTTTGTGTTCTGCAACCATTTATCTGCCTTCCGAGTGCAATGGTCCCATATAACGTTGGACCAGTGGGTCCTCAGCATCATTTCCAGGGGCTACATGTTGCAGTTCACTTCGCTCCCCCTCTACCACCCCTCGCCCCCGGAAATCCCCGGGCATCCGGAGCATCACCTCCTTCTAGACCAGGAGGTGACGCGCCTCCTCACCCTGGGCGCAGTGGAGAAGGTGCCTCGGGAATTCCAGGGCAGGGGTTTCTACTCCCGGTATTTTCTGATTCCAAAGGCAAAAGGCGGGCTCAGGCCCATCCTCGACCTGCGGAGCCTCAACCAGTTTATGGTTCGTTACAAGTTCCGCATGGTTTCCCTGGCCTCTATTATTCCATCCCTAGACCCGGGGGATTGGGTCGCAGCCGTGGACCTCCAGGATGCCTATTTCCACATCCATATTTTCGAGGGTCACAGGCGCTTCCTCCACTTCCTGGTAGGGCGGGACCACTACCAGTTTACGGTCCTTCCCTTTGGCCTCTCCATGGTCCCCAGGGTTTTTACCAAATGCATGGTGGTAGTGGCAGCCTACCTCAGGAGGAATGGGCTGCAAATTTTCCCCTACCTGAGTGACTGGCTGCTCAAAGGTAAGTCTCAGTCCCAGGTGCAAGCCCAGATGAAATTCCTGCTGGCCACTTGCGAGAGTCTAGGCCTAGTGGTAAACGAAGACAAGTCCACGTTAGTGCCGGTTCAGCGATACACTTCATAGGAGCGCAGTTGGACTCAGTGGTGGCCACGGCCTCTCTTCCCAGGGACAGGTTCGAGACGCTCAAAAGTCTCATAGCCTCGGTTACGTCCTTCCCTGTGACAACAGCAAGAGTGTGCCTTCAACTCCTGGGCCACATGGCAGCCTGCACCTCAGTGGTGTGACATGCCAGGCTCAGAATGAGGCCCCTCCAACTCTGGCTAGCCTCCCAATATTCCCAGGCCAGGGACGGCCTGGACAAGGTTGTCACGGTACCTCCCAATGTAGTGGCCGACCTGCAATGGTGGTCCCTCCTGGACAACATGTTACAAGGGATCCCCTTCCGAGAGACCCCTCCCTCACTAGATCTAGTTTCGGACGCCTCGGACCTGGGGTGGTTAGCCCATGTGGAGAGCTTCCAAACCCAGGGCAGATGGTCGACCTCGGAATTGTCCCTCCACATAAACGTCAGGGAACTCAGGGTGGTGCGCCTGGCGTGCATAGCGTTCAGCCTGCACCTTCGGGGAAAGATGGTCAGAGTCCTCACGGACAATATGACCGTGATGTATTACATCAACAGGCAAGGGGGCACGCACTCCTCGGCTTGTGCCAGGAAGCCCTGGACCTATGGGAATTTTGTATAGCCCACGACATCTCTCTGAGGGCTTTTCACCTACCCGGCACGCGCAATACGCGAGCCGATCACCTCATCAGGGTTTTCTCCCACCAATACGAGTGGTCACTCCACTGGGAGGTCGCCTGGCAGCTCTTCCGAGAGTGGGGAGCTCCCCAGGTAGATCTCTTTGCTACCGCCCAGAATCGTCTCTGCCCCCAGTTCTGCTCCAGGGCAGGGGCAGAAAGGGGGGCGATCTCAGATGCATTCCTCCTACAGTGGTCAGACCAACTGTTCTATGCCTTTCCACTGTTTCCACTGATAGGCAAGGTCCTGCAGAAAGTAAAGGCGGACAGGTCGAGGGTCATCCTCATAGCCCCGGATTGGGCCCGCCAGCCTTGGTACAGGACCCTCCTGCAACTGTTAGCGACCCCCCCGTGGAGGCTGCCGCTCCGCCCAGAACTCCTCTCCCAGGAGAGGGGATGCCTTCTCCATCCCAACCTAGCCGCGCTTCACTTGACAGCGTGGTTGCTCCATGGTTAAACAAGGAGGAGGGAAGGTGTTCAGAGGATGTCAGATGAATTCTGCTGGAGAGCAGAAAGCCATCTACACCACGGACCTACCTTGCCAAATGGTTTAGGTTTTCTAGGTGGGCGAGGGAGCGGGGCGCCTCCCTGTCATCCGCATCCCTCCAACTTTCATCCGCATCCCTCCAACTTATTCTAGATTGCCTCCTGTCCCTTAGGACCCAAGGTCTAGCTCCGGCCTCCGTCAGAGTACATTTAGTGGCCATTTCAGCCTTTCACCCTCCGGTGCAGGGTCACTCGGTGTTTTCCCATGAGATCACCTCCCCCTTTTTAAAGGGCCTAGATGGTACATTTCCATACGCTAGGGCCCCAGTCCCGCAATGGGATCTGAACCTAGTGCTATCCCGCCTCACGGGCCCTCCCTTTGAACCCTTGGCCACGTGTTCCTGGTCCCACCTGTCCTGGAAAGTAGCATTCTTGGTGGCTATCACCTCAGCCTGTCGGGTCTCGGAGCTTAGGGCCTTGACCTCGGAACCCCGTATACGGTCTTCCATAGGGATACGGTCCAGCTTCGCCCACATCCTGCGTTTCTCCCCAAGGTGGTCTCCGCCTTCCATATGGAACAGGATATTTTCTTACCGGTACTCTGTCCTAAGCCCATTCCTCTAATGAGGAGCGCCGCCTACACACGCTAGACATGCGTAGGGCGCTTGCCTTTTACCTGGACCGTACCAGGCCGTTCAGGAAATCCTCGCAGCTGTCCGTTGCATCGGCCGAGCATATGAGAGGGCAACCAGTCTCCACCCAGCACCTTTCCCGCTGGATCACCTCGTGCATACGCACGTGTTACGACTTGGCAGGGGTTCCCCCGCCGCCTATCGTAAAGGCGCATTCTACGAGAGCACAGGCCTCATCAGCCGCCTATGTAGACCACGTCCCTATCCAGGACATACGTAGGGCTGCCATTTGGTCCTCTGTCCACACCTTTTCCTCGCACTATGCGATCATCTCCCAAACACGGGATGACGCCGGGTTTGGTAGGGCGGTACTCCGTCCCGATAACCTTTAAACTCCTACCCACCTCCATCAGATTTAGCTTGAAGTCACCTACTGTGGAATACACAGGAACAATCACTCAAAGAAGAAAGGACAGTTACCTGTTCCGTAACTGGCGTTCTTCGAGATGTGTTGCTCCTGTCTATTCCACACCCCGCCCTCCTTCCCCTCTGTTGGAGTTGTCTGGCAAGAAGGAACTGAGGGTGGGGGGAGTGCGCAGCTCCCCTTATAGCGCGATATAGAGGCGCTACTCCAGGTGTCGCAGTGATGCTCCCCCACTATGGGTACTGCTAAGGGAAAAACTTCCGGCACCGGTGCACGTGGCGAGCACGCACACCTACTGTGGAATAGACAGGAGCAACACATCTCGAAGAACGCCAGTTACGGAACAAGTAACTGTCCTTTCTAACTTGTGCATTAATCTTGGACTTCTAATTTCTCTTGTGTCATAACACTCCTGTTTGCATTTGACTAACAGAACTGAGAATATCAAATAACAAAACATGTCTATCTGCCTCCTCATATATATCCAATCCACCATACCCTTTACTCCCTTCCTACAGTTATTGCTAATATTTGTTCTTATTGAGGATAGACGGATCCTATTAGATGTGGATTTTTTTTCTTGCTTTCATTATTTTTGTTGGAACATCTACTGGGAATATGTTGAAACTCCCTCTGCCTAAACAGGCTGGGAATTGGGTGTTATAAATCGTTGAGAACTGTCTCAGTGTTGACAGCTGGCTGTCCAGTGATTCAGGATTGTGATTTGGATATGTATGAGAAAAATAATTGAATAAGTAAGTAACAAAATTTTTCCATTTATCCCACATTTACTTTAATCTTTATTTTATCATTAATGTTATATAGGTATATTAAAATATCCATACATCTTCAGTCAATGACTTCTATAAATATATTAACATGTATATTGAATTTGTTAGAATATTGCTTTTACAACCTGTTTTTTTCATGTTTCAGCACTTCAGGGAACACCTCAACAAACTTTTTGCAAAAGGAATTGGAATGCTGGATATAGCTTTAAATGAAGCTTTCAACGTTCTCAGTGATGTAAGTTTGCACCTTTCTTTAAGCATTTGCATTGATGCTCCTCCCCCCCCCATTAAGTTAATTGCTGAAAATAAACTTTCATTTTAATAACTAGCTAATAAATCATGACAGGCTCCTGCTCAAAGTCCTCCCCATAGGATTATGATGATAAGAAAGGTGCTTCATGAGCTAGCCTACAGTGTAATACTTGAAAATTGCCCATATCCAATAAACGAAGCAGATCTACTAACATTTATATATATAAAATTGAGAGAGAGAGACACACACACACATTATCAAGATTATTTAAGTGGCTGTTTATTCACATTAGACCAGTGTTTTTCAAAGTTCGGGTTGCGGCATGTAAGGCACTGGGTCGCTCTGGTCAGCACGCCAACCGGGATGTTAAAAGTCCCGTCGGCGGTGCTGCCCAGTTAAGGCAGGCTAGTGCCTACCTGTTCCGACACTGCGCTGCGCCCTGGAAGTGGCCAGCAGTGGGTCTGGCTTCTAGGCAGGGGGGCCACGGGGCTCTGCACACTGCCCCTGCCCCAAGCACCGGCTCTGTACTCTCTTTGGCTGGGAACCGGCCACTGGGAGCTGGAGGGGGGGAGGTGACTGCTGGTGAGAGCGGCGCAGAGCCGCTTGCGCGCCTCCAGCTAGGAGCCAGACCTGCTGCTGGCCGCTTCAGGCGCAGCGCAGTCTGAGGTGCCAGGACAGGTGGGAAGCCTGTCTCTGCACCCCGGCTGCACTGCTAACCAGGAGTCGCCGGAAGTAAGTCCACGCCCCAACCCTATGCCCCAATCCCCTGCCCCAGCCCTGAGCCCCCCCAAACCCGGAACCCCTTCTTTCACCCCAAACCCCTCATCCCTGGCCCCACCCCAGAGTCTGCACCCCAGACCAGATCCCTGACCCCCTCCTGCAACCCAACTCCCTGCCCCAGCCCTGAGCCCCCTACAAACCCAGAGCCCCTCCTGCACCCTAGATCTCTCATCCCCGGCCCCACCCCAGACCCTGCACCCCCAGCCCAGAGCCCTGACTCCCTCCCACACCCCAACCCCTTGCCCAAGCCCTGAGCCCCTCCCACACCCCAAACCCCTCATCCCCAGCTCTGTTGGGTTTCAGTCATCAACAATTTTCTTCAATTGGGTCCCCAGGAAAAAAGTTGGAAAACCACTGCATTAGACTACTGTCGGTCTTGAAGTACCCTCAGTTAAATATGAGTTTACCACTTACATTATTTTTTTTGGTAATGGTTAATGTCATTGTATTAGTCTCTATATTTGACAAACATTTTAGGAACATACACAGTTATAAATGAGCAAATGATTGTTACTGCTTTTACTTTTAGCACAAAGATTAATATGTTTTAGACAGCTTTGTACAAAAGTAACTATCTGAAGAGTTTTTATAACTTATCATTTCTGTCTTCCCATATTCATAGAGAGAGAAATGCAAAATTCTCTTGATTTCTGTCTAGACATAGACCATTTGGAAACAGTTCAGAGGTATAATAATATTTCTATTATTTATTGGCCAAAACATGAGGTCAGCTTTTGATTTCTGATAACGTTCCTGTGAATAATGTCTATGTACAGTCATTTCAGTCTGAACATCATAATGGGGACAACCCAGTACAGCTCAATTAGTTTTCCTTTACCACCACTACCATAAAAAATCATGTTGCGTTCTTTGAAAGAATATCTCTTACAGAATAGAAAGGAATATTTTAATTAAAATCAGGCCCATTATCTTTGCCCAAGATGTTTTCCCACACAAGGTAAATATCAGAATGAGTGATTATTGCATTGTGCTTTCATGTAGTATAGTTCACAAAGATCCTTTCTTGGTAATTCCTGGCAAATCTGAAATACATTATCATGCTTTATTTTCCAGCAGAGAACAACTCTAGCCTTATTTTGATTCAACTGACTGTGTGCTTCTCTGAGAATTTCTTTTAGAGAGAACAAGCAAATAAAAAGAAAGGCGGAGGGGAAATGAGTGAGAATGAAAGAGAAATGGGTGTCTGCCGAATTTTTATTTTTAATTGCACCAATTATAATCTTGACAACTATTTTAGGTTTAAAGCCACTGGTGGCAACTTTTATTGAAATAAACATAGATTTAAGGTTAGTGTATGGGGAACCCTGTGATCATGATTACTTCATAGTGCAAGTGCCAGGCCAAAAGCCCAGGCCAACGCATAGGATTGCAACTTCTTTCAGTGTAACAGTCAGGCCAAAGCTTCTCCTAGGGGAATGGGCTCATCTCTTTCTGCAACTAATTATAAGCAATTACCTCTTTCATCAAGATGCCCATATGGGTGAGCACTTTAAAAATTACAAATTACCTTATCACAAAACTACAGTAAGGCCTATCAAGCAAGGCATGAGTACCCAATGCAATCACACAAGGCAAAACTAGCATAAACTGAACTCGAAGGGGGTAAAGGAAAGGTGACTGTATGCCACCTTTATTGTCCAAAGTCCTGGGCCTGGCAGGGAGCTGCTTGGCAGGGAAGGCTGCTCTAAGGTGAAATACCAGCATCCAGGGATCACTGGGACCTAGTACCACAGCCCACTTATCCTTTTACCCAGGAACAGCTCTAATGCCCAGGGCTAGTTTCTTAACAATAAGGTTATTTCAAAATACTACATGAAACCCCACTCTGAAACTTCTCCTAGAGGCTAGTTTATTCCTAGTGAGTCTTCCGCCAGGAACCATCTGTCCCAGCCTGAGTTCTTTTTGTCTGAGGTCTACTCCCATCTTCCTTCTATCTGGGTGGAGTTAATTACATAAGTGAGTCAGTAAAAGCCACTTAACATTTTCCCTACATGAGCAACACTTGCTAAGAAAGGAAATGTGAATACTCATGGTTATGAATTCAAAATTCAGTTTGTGAGAATAATTTCAAATTTGTCAGAAAATATGCCTTACAGTGAATGATTTCAAGAAGTTTAATTCAGTAGACAGGGCCGGCTCCAGGGTTTTGGCCACCCCAAGCAGCCCAAAAAAAAAAAAAAAAAAA